TGCTCTTAGAGCCTGTGCTGTTGGTGTTCTGTTCAGGAAGTTGTCTCCTGTGCCAATGAGTTCAAGGTTCTTCCCCACATTTTCTTCTAAGAGGTTTAGTGTGTCTGGTTTTATATTAAGGTCTTTGATCCACTTAGACTTTAGTTTTGTGCAGGGTGATAAGTATGGATCTATTTGCATTTTTCTACATGTAGACATCCAGTTAGACCAGCACCATTTGTTGAAGACTGCCTACAGACTGGGAAAGGATCTTCACCAAACCTATATCTGACAGAGGACTAATATCCAGTATATATAAAAAACTCAAGAAGTTAAACAGCAACAAATCAAGTAATCCAATTTAAAAAATGAGGTACAGAGATAAACAGAGAATTCTCAATAGAGGAATATCGAATGGCCGAAAAACACTTAAAGAAATGCTCAATGTCCTTAGTCATCAGGGAAATGCAAACCAAAACGACCCTGAGATTTCACCTTACACCCATCAGAACCACTAAGATCAAAAGCTCAAGTGGCAACACATGCTGGAGAGGTTGGGGAGAAAGGGGAACCCTCCTCCACCCCTGGTGAGAATATAAACTTGTACAACCACCCTGGAAATAAATCTGGAGCTTTCTTAGACAATTAGGAATAGCGCTTCCTCAAGATCCAGCTATACCACTCCTAGGCATATACCCAAAAGAGTCTCAAGTACACAATAAGGACATCTGCTCAACCATGTTTGTAGCAGCTTTATTTGTAATAGCCAGAAGCTGTAATCAACCCAGATGCCCCTCAACTGAGAAATGGATACAAAATTATGGCACATTTACACAATGGAATATTACTCAGCAATAAAAAACAAGGAAATCATGAAATTTGCAGGTAAATTGTGGGAACTGGAAAAGATCATACTGAGTGAGATATCCCAGAAGCAGAAAGACACAAAGGGTATATACTCACTCATAAGTGGAGAGTAGACATATAATATAGGATAAACCTACTAAAATCTGTACACCTAAAGAAACTAATCAAGACAGAGGACGCCAGCTAAAATGCTCAATCCCCATTCAGAAAGGCAAAGAGGATGGACATCAGAAGAAGGAGAAAACAGGGAACAGGAAAAGAGCCTGTTACAGAGGGCCTCTGAAAGGCTCTACCCTGCAGGGTATCAAAGCAGATGCTGAGACTTATGGCCAACCTTTGGGCAGAGTGCAGGGAAGCTTATGAAGGTAAGTGGGAAATAGTAAGACCTGGAGAGGACAGGAGCTCCACAAGGAGAGCAACAAAACCAAAAAATCTGGGCACAGAGGTCTTTTCTGAGACTGATACTCCAACCAAGGACCATTGATGGAGATAACCTAGAACCCCTGCACAGAGGTAGCCCATGGCATTTCAGTGTCCAAGTGGGTTCCATAGTAATGGGAAGAGGGACTGTCTCTGACAGGAACTGATTGGCCTGCTCTTTGATCATCTCTCCCTGAGGGGGGAGCAGCCTTACCAGGCCACAGAGGAAGACAATGCAGCCACTCCTGATGAGACCTGATAGACTAGGATAAGAAGGAAGGAGAGGAAGACCTCCCCTATCAGTGGACTTGGGGAGGGACATGCATGGAGAAGAGGGAGGAAGGGAGTGGGAGGGGAAGAGGGAGGGGTTAATGGGGGGAAACAAAGTGAATAAAGTGTAATTAATAAAAATTAAAAATTAAAAAAATTATTCCTGGATACATAAGGTGAAAGCTAGCCTGGGCTGCATGAAGCCCTGGCACAATAACTACAGAAATAGTCAAACAATATAATACATCAAATAAAAGGTTTTGTGCACTAATGCAAAAAAAAAAAAAAAAGAAAAAGAAAAGAAAAGAAAAGAGGGAACCAATTCCTAAATGTTTCCCTTTGATCTCCCCACACATGGACATGTACACACACACACACATGAGCGCACAAGCACATACACATACAAGCACGTACAGACATATTACTAATATATAACATAATTTAAAAATGAATTTGAGTAAGTAGATCCCTAATCGTAAACAGCAGTTTGTATAGGGTCTTTTTCTACTAAAGAAACTTTTGATTTAGTGACTGCTGCAGTAACTATCAACTCTGAGAGGCAATGGCCTATCTCAATACAAAGAGTTCCAAATGCTTCTTCTGAATCAGCAAAAAAGTTACCCCTACCGTCCAAGGTCCAAGTTTTGTTTTGTTTTGTTTTGTTTTTTAAGAGAACATGTTATTCTGGATTTCATATGAATTCAGAGCTCACCGTATGGCCCAAGCTAGTCTTAAACTTACAGCAATCCTCTTGTACCAGCCTCTCAAGCTCTTGAATTACAAGGACAAGCCACCAAGCTCATTGTTAAATGGCTTGCATTTCTCAAGTCAAGCATGCATAAAGGGATCATTATGCTTGGAGTGGTATGCTTTTTAAAATGTATCTGCCTTTCCTACTTGTTTTACACCAATCACAGCTAGTATCAGTTATTTCCAATTACAGATTACTAGTTTCATTAGATTATAAATAGAATATCCCATAAGAGGTATCGAATAGCCAGAGCTTGATTAACATTTATCCATGATGCATCATGGCAGATATGCAGGTAACTGGTCACATATTGTTTCTCCAGGCTGATGGTGCTGTTGTGTCTGGATGCTGGCATAGAATTGTCTGGGCCTACCTTTCCTCCCTATGTTTCTACCTTAGAATGACTGGAGATATAATGAGCAGAGACAGAACGGTGAGAGAGACATAAAGAAAGAAGACTCAAAGAGACTATCAGAGAGGAGAGGCAGCGATGGAAATATAATGGAGAATAGACAGACAGTCTTAACAGACAATCTTACTCATAGCTTCATCCCCCTTATAAGCCATAGTTCCTTTGTTTCTGTTGGATCTTTCATACTCATACCTTAAGCCCTTTGTTGATGGAGCTAGTTTGAGTGAAAAGGTATCATGTTTAAGGAAAAGTTTGGCTAAAATAGCTATTTGAATGCTTTTCCACGTATTGCTTTGAGGAAATTATATATATATGAGAAAATGCATAGATACAAGCATAATTTCTCCTCTGAGAAGTAGAAAATATTCCTGTGAAATCCTCAGACCTCAAGCTCACACTAGAACAGTATCTATTTACAATTGGAAAGACTTTGACCCCTAAACAATGTTGTGGTGCTAATAGTACATTCTGCTGGCTTAGCTTCCACCCATAGCTTTCTTATTCTAATAGTCCTTTGTCCCCTTAAAATCAAAATATATGAGTGTGTGGGCCTAAGAATTAGTGTGAGTGAAAAGAATTGATATTTATCTTCCCCCTTAAGAATTCAGTAAACATAGTTTTGCTAACTCTTATTTCTTCATAACAACAGCGAATATCCTTACCTAGTCTCCTTAACACTCATAACTTATCAACATGCTATGTCAAAATGCTATTGGCCCGAAAATTACTGGAATAAAACAATAAATCAATAGATAACACAAGCATTTTTGTTCTACATGGCTGTTCTACATTCATGGAATTTCTAGGTCCCAAGAAGCAAACTCAATTAAGCAAACTCATTCATTCAAAAATATTCACTGAACACCTTGCATATGTCAGGGCATGGTACTATTGTTAGATTAAGGCTTTTAAAAAGATATAAAGAGAATAAGAGAATAAGAAGTGAATGTGATTCAAAACGTTTCAAGTTAGAGGCTGTAGGTCTCAGCTCCAAAACTTAAAAACTGGGTTTAATGCTTGTAAGCAAAAGTTACTCCATTATAAACAAACTGCGAAATTGTTCATGTAAGGTCTAGAGAGATGGCACAGCAGTTAACACCAGTTACTCTTGCAGAAGACCTGAGTTTGTTTCCCAGCACACACAAGGCAGCTCAGACCCTTCTGTAACTCCAGCTGCAGGGGATCTGAGGCCCTATTCTGGCCTCCACCGGCACCAGGCATAAATGTTGTGCACATAAGTATATTCAAGCAACACACACATAAAATAAACATAAAATTTTGTTTTAAAATATTTATATACCATTCTACCATGAAGCCATTTTCATCCATTCTGTCCTCATTACTCATAATGGCTCTACTAAGCACTCATTTTAAATCCTTATTTTTTTCCTAAGCATCTAACAATGTTTCATGTTCCATTCTTGTGGTGCTGATGAAGAGATAAGTAGGACATTGCAAGTTGGTCACAAATTTAGAGTGCATCTGCCAACAGGTATTAATTTCTCCCAGACCATGCACTTTTTCCTTTTGAAATTTCTCTGAGGAAAAAGACTAAACCTGACCACCAATGAACATATAACATGTCCCAGAAGGAAAACAACAAAACACCGATAGCAGGTACTAAGCAGCATGAAGTAGGGGAAGGGTAAGTAATACTTGTTGTATTAGTTTCAGCTTGGAAAGAGTGTGTGTCTTTGTTGTGTCTCAAATGGATCTCTACAAGGTAAAGCTAACAGAAGAGGAAGCAGGGCATGGAGAGGGTCAGTCAAGTGTTGGAGATAGAAATCTCTTCATGTCCCAAGAGCAGCTGATAGCAGTCTGAGCTAGCATGTCTGTGGCTTGCTCAAAGACGTTCCAATGCTACCGCTAGTTTTTTTCAGTCTAAGTAAGAGGCAAGGCGGGAAAGGTGGTGATCTAGCTTACTCATAAGAACATGAAGAAGCATACAGGATCAGGGAGGGTGATGCCCGCTTGCAATCCCAGCCCTTGAGAGATGGAGGCAGGAGTTCAAGCTCATGCTCAGATACATAGTGAGCTTAAGGGCCAGTCTGGACTGCAGAAGATCCTGTCTCAACCAGCAAGGTATGTGATGTAGCTTAAACAAGGAAACAAGGACAGGCATGAGCAGAGCCTCATACATCTGGCCTCGTGTTCTCCCACAGTGACTTTCCCATCTAGCCAAGGGCACAACTCCAGGCTGCTCTTCCTTTGTTCGGACCACAAATTGGAGAAGGACATGAGCAGAACAAAGGTGCTTCGTCTGTCCCAAGCCTGACACTCATGAGAAGCACATGAACTTACAGTTGCTCTGGAGAAGCTTGTCCAGGGAATGGCGCCACTGCAGGGCCTCTTCCAGCGAGGGCCTAAACCAACAGGGGGACAGAGAAGGGTGACAGTGTAAGAAGGAAGTTAACAATAGGCATGAAAAGTACTTGACTCTGGTTTTCTTAGGTGGAAATGACACAACTGGTGATTGGCCCTTGGGTAGGGATGGATGGTCTATGTTCACATGGTTGGTTCTGATTAGATGTTTTGGTGATATGTGCGGTGCGTTCTTATTGCTTTCTGAACAATCTGATGAGACAAGGTTTTTGAGGAAGTAGAGTCTATTTGCCCTGAGGCTCTGTCTAATAGTCTTGTGTATTCCATAAGAGTGAATCCAAAGATTATCTTTATTTCAAATATAGGTTAATGAAATCCTACTGTCCCTCCACAGAGGGTAAGTGAATTCTCTGTGTTTCCCAGTGCCACCCATTGGTCACCAACTTAATCAGCGAATGTTTGTATTTGGTTCTAAAGCCCAATGTCACAGTCACCTCACTAAGGCTAACAGAAGACACTCAGCTTGACTTTGTCCCGTACTGGAAGTATGACAGAAAAACAAGATCTACCTTTCTTCCTTCCTTCCTTCCTTCCTTCCTTCCTTCCTTCCTTCCTTCCTTCCTTCCTTCCTTCCTTCCTTCCTTTCTTTCTTTCTTTCTTTCTTTCTTTCTTTCTTTCTTTCTTTCTT